CTCCTACTACTATTGTGGAGCTGTCTATCTCTCTTTTCAGTGCTGTTTGTTTTATGTAGTTTGGAGCCCTGTCGTTGGGTGCATAAATATTTATTCTGGTTATGTCCTCCTGGTGTCCTGATCCTTTAATCATTATATAGTGTCCTTCCCTATCATTTGGGGTGGATTTTACTTTAAGGTCTATTTTGTCAGAGATTAGTATTGCCACTCCTGCTCTTTTTTGAGTGTTGTTTGCTTGATATAGTTTTTTCCATCCTTTGAGTTTTAGTTTGTTTGTGTCTTTAAGTCTAAGGTGTGTCTCTCACAGGCACCATGTAGACAGATCTTGGTTTTTAATCTAATCTGCCACTCTCTCTCTTTATTGGTGCATTTAGTCCATTTACATTCAGTGTAATTATTGATAGGTATGAGTCTAGTGCTGTCATTTTGATGTCTTTTTTTTGTGTGTTGTTCACAGTTTCTTTGTTCCACTTAATTTTTTGTGCTGAGTCGTTTTTCTTTATATATTTTCATTTTTATTGATTTTGTGTTTGCTTAGTCTTTATAGTTTTCTAGTTTTTTATTTTGACTTGTAGGATTGTTAGTTTTCTTTGTGGGTACCTTAATATTTACCCCTATTTTTCTAAGTTTACACTAGTCTTTTATTTCTTTATATCACCTTGACTTCCTCTCCATTTGAAAAATCTCAGTCTACATTTTTTAAGTCTCTCTTTTTTGTTTTAATGTTGTCATTTTTTACATACTGACATCTGTTACCCTATTTTAAGTGGTTTAGCTTTGATTTGCTTTTGTGAATTCCCTATCTGGGTTGATATCTGGTTGCTCTGTCCTGTGTTCTAGTCTTGGGTTGTTACCTGATCTTACTGATTTTCTATCCGGAGGACTGCCTTTATATTTCTTGTAATTTTAGTCTGGTTTTTGCAAATTCCCTAAACTTCTTTTTATCTGGAAGTGCCCTAATTTTGCCATCATATTTGAGAGACAGTTTTGCTGGATATGTAATTCTTGGCTGGCAGTTTTTTTCCTTCAGTGCTTTATATATGTCATCCCATTGCCTTCTTGCCTGCATAGTTTTTGCTAGGTAGTCGAGCTTATTTGTATTGACTCTCCTTTGTAGGTGACTTTTCGTTTATTCACAGCCGCTCTTAAAATTCTCTCTTTATCTTTGGTTTCGGCAAGTTTGATTATGGTATGTCTTGGTGACTTTCTTTTGGGATCTACGTTATGTGCAGTTCAATGAACATCTTGGATAGATATCTTGTCATGTTTCACGGTATCAGGAAAGTTTTCTGCCAACAAATCTTGAACAATTCTCTCTGTATTTTCTGTAATTCCCCCCCTGTTCTGGTACTCCAATTACTCGTAGGTTATTCTTCTTGATAGAGTCCCACATAATTCTTAGGGTTTCTTCATTTTTTTAAATCCTTTTATCTGATTCTTCCTCAAATAAGTTGGTGTCAAGTGCTTTATCTTCAATGTCACTAATTCTGACTTCCATTGCCTCAATTCTGCTCCTATGACTTTCTATTGAGTTGTCTAATTCTGAAATTTTATTGTTAATCTTCTGGATTTCTGATTGCTGTCTCTCTATGAATTCTTGCAGCCTGTTAACTTTGTCATTATGCTCTTCTCTAATCTTTTTAATTTCCTCTGTTGCATATTCTGCATTTTGCTTAATTTCCTTCCTAATTTCTTGAAGAGTTCTGTATGTTAATCTTTTGTATTCTGCCTCTGGTAATTCTAAGAAATTTTCCTCCCTTGGAAAATTTCTAGATTCTTTATTTTGGAAGCTTACTGAAGCCATCATGGATTGCCTCTTTATGTGATTTGCTATGGGCTGTTGTCTCTGAGCCATCAATAAGTTATTGTATTTATTTATATTATGTTTGTTTACTGTGCCCCAGCTTCTTGTTTTGTTTTGATATGCACAGATAGGCTGCTTGTATAAGCTTGTTTGATTATTGGCACCTTTGAAGCTCTAATGTCCTGTCACCAGGTGGTTAAATCTGTTGCTAGGTATGTGATCTCAGGATTGTGCCCACTCCTCCTGTATGGATTCAGCTCAGGTGCCCAGGTAGATCGCCATCAAGTGTGTGGTGTAGGCTCTCACTTACAGTCCTAGACAGGCATGGGTGATTGGTTTAGGCACAGGCATCTGGCTGCAGGAGGGGGACATACTCTGAGCAAGGCAGGGGGCTGACGGCTGCCCCCGAGTGACCAGGAGGAAGGTGTGTCCCTGTTCCTTAGAGCGTGTAGGTGGGTGGGTTTTACAGCTGGACTATGAGCACCTAATACTGTTGGCTGTAAGCACTGGGGGGCACGTCTTATTCATGGGCCCCTCTCGCATGTGGCTAGGTGACATGGGTGGAGCCAGTAGTCCTTAGGCCCCTGATGTGGGTAGGTGAAGACCTTGCTTAATGGGCAGAGCAGTGTCAAACATCAAGAGCCTGCCACTTCACAGCTGAAACAGTTGAAGATAGAGTTCTGGTATATATCCTGTTTTACTGTGGTAAGGAGGGCGTAAGCTGTTGAGATGGGTCCACACAAGTCTATGCAGGGGGAAAGGCACTCAAAGTCCGTGGATCCCTTCTGCCTGTGCCTAAGCAAAGGAGCTGTGCCTACCCTGGGTTCCTGGCTTAGGGGAGCCGGCAGTTTATTTTTCCCCATTTGTTAATTTGTTCACTCTTCAAGGTAGGGAGAATGGCTCCGGGCGTGTTAATGGATCCTACTTCCCACCTAGGGGACTTGGCAGTTGCTGAAGCCGGTCTGGGACCCAGTACAGAGCAGGGAGCGGGGACGTAAATGGGAGAGAAGTTTTTCCCTAAGAGGGTGTTTTTGATCCACGCAGTAGCCATATGCAAGTACTTATCTTTCGCTGATCCAGGGCTGCTTCTCACTGGTTCTGGGTGGCTGTGTAGAGTCTCTGGTGCTGGGTCTCTCCTGGTGTGGAAAATGCACCTTCCGAGCACTGCTACTTGTCTGCCTCACCACTCATCCCCGAGCTGGTCAGGCCTGAAGGGCTCGGGCTCTTGCCGGGTCAGGTCTGGCAACTCCTCGCTGCTTCCGAACTGTCTCTTCCTCCCCTTGCCGCTCAGTCCGGTTCCTCAACTCTACCTTTGATGTTCAGGGCTCCCAGATTGCCATATATAATTGAATCACTTGTTTTTTGGGGTCTTTATTGTAAGAGGGTCCACTGGAAGCATCTGACTACTCTGCCATCTTGGCCCCACCTCCATGACCAACCCTTGACTGATAGAGTCCCGTCTGTCTGCTGCCTTCTCCGTCCCGACATGGTCCAGTGCCTGCACATAGGGCCTCTGAAGGTGCTTGCCAAGTGCCTGCCTGGCTTGGTCTTGGTTTTACCTCTGGTGACCCATTTCCTCTGTCTGCTCAGTGACTCATTGCTCATTGGTGCCTGCCATCTCCCATTGGGCCCCAGAGAACAAGATAGTATCCAGAAAACTCTCCTTGCTGCTGGCACAGACACCGTGGTCGCACATGTATACTAAAACGGCCCAGGCACAGGTTTAGTGTGAAACGTGGGCTGTTCACTGATGCATGGGTTCAGGGATCTGTGAGTGTGGTCAGACAGAAGCCAAGCCCCACCCTGGACACCCTTCTTGAGGCAGGGCAGCTGCACACATACCTCTTAGGGAGGAGTGGGAAGGCTCTGTTGGCAGTGTATGCAAGTGTGCGCACAGGAGTGAGCTTAGTACAGTCAGGGAGGGCTTCCTACAGGATTGACGTGGTGCAGGGCATGCACAGAGAAGCACATGGAAGGATCAGGATAAGTTGGCTCAGTTGGAGGAATGTTCTGGTGATGTGACCCTCCTCTCCGCTCTGGCTGTGACCAGGACTTGGAACAGAAGCTGTGCCTGCAGGAGCAGGATGCTGCCGTCGTGAAGAACATGAAGTCGGAGCTGGTGCGGCTCCCCAAGGTGGAGCGGGAGCTGAGGCAGCTGCGGGAGGAGAATGCTCGCCTACGGTGAGGGGCTGGGGAACAGTGTGGGGGATGGGGACACCAGTGGTGCGAGGGGGTAGGGGCTCTGGGGCTTGGGGGCCCCCAGCGGGTCGGGGGCCTCTATGGGGCAGGAGCCTTTGAGGGGTGGGGTTCTCCAGGGTGCAGGGGCCTCTGAGGGACGAGAGGTCTCCAGGAGGCAGGGGCCTCTGAGGGGCAGGAGATCTCCGGGAGATAGGGACCTCCGAGAGGCAGGGGGTCTGTGGGGAACAAGGAGCTCCAGGGCCAGGAGCCCTGCCATGTCAGCATCTCCTAGCCTTGGGTAGTGGTATCCTCGACTGGGAGCCCGAGACGCAGCCCTGTGGGCAGAGGCCTGTCCTTGGGGTCCGAGGCTCAGCCCCTTGGGCAGGGGTCCCCATTCTTTTTGAGATCTTAGGTGCAGCCCTGTGGGCAGGGAGCCCATCCTCCTCGGCCCAGGTATTGGTTATGCCCAGTGCCTGCGCAAGTGGGCCCCAGGGTACGTGACTGTCTGAGTGACCTCATTTCCATCCCTCACCTGCCAGGGAGATTAGAGAGACCCACGGGCTGCTCCAGGAGGAGCTGGAAGGGCTGCAGAGGCGGCTGGGGAGGCAGGAGAAGCTGCAGGAGGAGCTGGTCAGCCTAGAGCTGGAGAAGGAGGTAAGGCCCTGGTAGGGAGCTGCACTGCGGGGTGTCCCCTGCTTGGCCATGCTTATGCTCTGGGGGGACCTGGGACATTCCGGTTATACGGTCCAGCTGGTCACTTAACACGTGGAAGCCGTTGTGGGGGTGTGACAGGCAGAATAATGCCCCAGAGACTCCCATTTCCCTGTTCACAGAGCCTGTGAACATGTTGGGTTATGTGGCAAAGGGAGTAACGGTTGCTGGTCTGTTGATCCTGGATTATCGGGTGGGCCTTCATTACAGGGCCCTTCGTGTTGGAGAGGGAGACAGGAGAGGGGTCAGGGTGAGGCAATGGGAGCAACACTCACCTCGTCATTGCTGGCTCTGAAGTGGAGGAAGGGCCACGAGCCAGGAATGCGGGCGGCTTCTAGTAGTTAGAAAGGGCAAGGAAACAGCTTCTCCCCTAAAGCCTCTGTGAAGGAGTCAGCCCTGCCTGCCGCACCTGGATTTTAGCTCAGGGAGGCCCATTTTGAGCTTCTGACCTCCAGAGTTGTAAGATAAGAAGCCACGGAGTTTGTGGTAATCTGTTTACAGCAGCATAGGAAGCTAGTCCAGGTGGGAGTTAGAGAGGGAACGGTGAAAAGCAGAACTACCCACAGGAGTGAGTGGGAACCTGTGCCGGGCTGCTTCTTGCAGCGTCTGCTGTAGGACCTGCAGGTGACCTTTGGTGGGAAGAGGATGTCAGCACTGGTACCATCTCCAAGGTCACCTTGCTGAATGGGTGGAGAGAGTGAGACTCTGGAGGCCAGTGCTCTTGCCCAGCACACAGTGAGTGTGTGCTGCATTGTGAACCAGAGCTAAGGCCTTGGCTGCTGGCCCGGGGGTTTTCTTTCCAACCATATGCCACCCCATGGCATAAACCATGTCCCTGTCACCCAAGAGTTCTTGCAGACTCATGGAATGTAAAGCTCATCTGGCATCTGTAGTAGTTGTCAGCTGCCCCACCTGCTGGGGCCGCTCCCTGCGTGAGTGCCCTCAGGTGGCATAGAGGGTGTCACCCTTCCCATAGCTCTAGGAAGACTGAGGAATTGTGGGTCCTTGGCTTTTGTGCCCTGAGGGGCCTGTGCACCAAGGAGGCCCCCTGAGGCTGGCCCAAGGCCACCACAGGACCCAGGGCAGAGCTCCTCATTCCATTGTGGTTTATTCAGAAACATAGCCTGAAAAGACACCCTGGAGCCAAGCAGTGTTTCCTCCGGACATAGTTCTGTTTGAACCCCTGCCCCCCAAATAAAAACAGAAACAAGCAAACCTTCACTAAGGCCATGGCCACGTGCTGGCTGACCACTCCCTTTAATCCAGCCACGTTGGGCCCAGACGGACAAGAGACCCCAGTCTGCCCTCCGAGGGGTCACAGTCCAGTAGAAGTAACACTGTTTTCCACCCTCTGCCGTTTTTCACTTGGCCAAGCTCTTCTCCAGCCTCCATTTCATTTGAGCTCCTCAGTCACTGTGGGCATGGCCGGGGCAGGGATTCTGGCCCCAGCTCTAGATGTCAGAAGCCCAAGCCGGGAAGCCTGGTAGACTGGCCACTGCTCTGACCTGCCACTCTCCTCTCTTCTCTGTGCTGCCCCAGAGCCTCCCGTGAGTGCTGGGCTGACGGTGGCCTTCCATCTGGGCTCACCTGTCATGTTCCCTCTGTCCTGAGTGGCAGGGCTACATTGTGGACAGCATGGGGGTCTCGAGTGACACCCCCTTGTTTTAGGCCTGGGCGGTGCTTGCTGGTTGCTGACCCTGGGCAAGTGACTGGCCCTCTGTCTGTCTGGTCATCTGCACACTGAGGATGGTCACAGCGTCTGCGTGTTGTGTGTGTGGGTTAAGTAGATTTGCAGAGACGGTGCCACTGACTTTAATAATGCAATCATCACGATCATACGGCCTTGCAAGGGCCTGCTGCAGGCAGGTGCTCATGTCAGAGGGTGCAGGGAGGGGGAAGGCAAAGGGAGGCCACACAGAGGCACTTGCCCCTGCCAACAGTTGGTTATAGGCTAGAAGGGGAGTGAGACTCAAACAGTGTTTTGGGGCGTGGGTCAGTGGGGAATAGGCATGTGAAATAGGAGGAGTCACCCTGGGTGCTGTGCACAGTGGGGGTGTCAGCCCTGACTCCCCTTCTTCAGGGCTGATTCTCTGCTGCCTGCGGGGCTGCTGGTCCTCGTCTGCTATGACCTTAGGGGGGAAGTTGGGGGTGGAATTTGGCTCTGGGACTGAGTCCCTTTGTCCCAGGCACTGTCCCTAGGCACCATGAGGAGCTCCTGGGCGGGGAGGGAGTGGCAAGGCCTGTGGTTCATGCCCAGCATCTGCCCTCTGGGCACAGATTGGCAGGACCATCCCTGAGGCTATTTGCCCCCCACCCCCCACATTCCTTTAGCTTGCTGGGGTTCAAACTCTAATTCAGGGACCAGGAGGGTGTGAGGTATGGCATGTACATGGTAACTTCAGCATCGGGAAATAACTAGACTGCTTTGGAATAGACTCAGCATTTTTGCATTCTTCCTCAAAGGGGAGGGCAGACTCGTCTGACAGATCAGAGGTTTTAAAATTTCATATCACATTTTAAAACCTGCTGGCCCAGTGATGCCGGGGAGACTTAGTGTCATTATCATCGTCTCTAGACAAGAATAACTTGGTCTAGGGGATTGGTGTGTGTATTAGTCAGGGTTCTACAGAGAAACAGAGCCGACAGCATACACACACAGACATACATGTTGACATTGATTGATTTTAAGGAATTGGCTCACTCATTGTGGGGTTGGCAAGTTCAGAATATGTAGGCCAGCAAGCCAGAAACTCTGGCAGGATGTCTATGTTACAGTCTTGAGGCAGAGTTTCTTCTTTTCCAGAAACCTCAGTTTTTGCTTTTAAGGCCTCCAACTGATTGGATGAGGCCCACCCATGTTATGGAGGGCAATCTCCTTCACTTAAAGTCAGCTGAATGAATCAACCACATCTATAAAATACTGTCACACTGACAGAGTAGTGTTTGATGAAATACCTGAGCCCTGTAGCCTAGCTGAGTAGATACAGCAAATTCACTATTACAGTGTGCATGCAGTTAGGAGGTGAGAGAGGGTGGACGATGGTGTGGGGTGGACAGGAAGGACTGGAGGGTCATAGCCCTTGGCTGGAGGTGATATGGACGTGGCTTTACCTGCTTGGCCTTCTTTGTCTTTGCAGAGGCTGCTGGGGAAGCTGCAGAGCTGGGAGAGGCTGGACCAGACCACAGGCTTGCACATCAGGTAGGCGGAGGGACGATCTCCCGTTGTCCCGCTCTCTCTGAGTGGAGCATTGGCCTCACCTCTGGCAGACGTGGCCCTCCTCCCTGAGCTCTCTTCAGTGAAGTTCCTCTGCGGGCTGTTGGTGGGGAAGCTCTTGCTGCCTGCCGTTCAGGTTTAATGAGGTGCTTTCACGGAGAGGGGGTAATAGAACTAAGTGGCTCTCCCTGCTGAAGCCTTAATAGCGTCTTCATTTAGAATCAGAATACCTGCAGCCTCACAGAGGCAGGTACTCGATTGCCCTGCATTGCTGGGCTTTGTTAGCAGGCGCTTTTCTGGGTATACTGAGTAGGTAGCTGCTCTTTGGGGAAGTTGTTCCTTTTAGGTGATTGCAATGAGTAGAGATGAGCTGAGTTTAAAAAAAAAAAAAAGCGAAGGTTATTGTCTCAATCAGGCCCCTGTAGCTGCCGTCTCAGCTAGTTTGTGCCAAGCTAAACACTAGCAGGTGTGGAAGGTGAGTGTGGAGTGGCAGGTGGATCGAAGCTGGCGGCTGCCTGCCTATACGCAGGCGAGGAGGCTGAGCATTGGGGATTTTGTTCCCTGATCTGTAGCCAGGTGCCAGATGGGCATTGTTCCAAATCCCTGTAGCCAGTCCAATCTGTCACACTGCGCCGTCCCCCCAGGGAGCTGCTGCTCATCTCTCTCCAGTGGTGCTGCAGGTGCTGCCCTCCCAGCCTCTGTGGCCTGGCTGCCTGCCCGCCTTGTGGCCCTGGGTCCTGGGGAGGCCGAGGATCGATCAGTCTGCGTTAGTCATTGGTGCCTGGGGCACATGGCCTGTGGCACTAAAAGACTCCTTGTTTCCCATTGCTTGTGGGATGAGACCTGCAGACTCTTGCTGTCTTCCCTGCTGCTCTTTGAAGCTGGGTTAGGATGGGCCCTGTCTCACAGAGCCACCCTGCCATTAACACTGCCCGGTCGCTGGCTCTGGAACTGGCTCCTGCCACCCGCTGGCACTGGCTTCAGTCCTTGGTCACGTAGAAGTGCCTCTTCATTTCCTGTGCCTTGGTGAGTCACAGAGGTGTGACGTGAGGCTGCCAGCCCCTCCGGACCTCACCTGCAAGAGCTAGGCTCCTGTCGGCTGTCCCAGCGAGTCCTGATGCGTGCACCTCCTCCTGTCCTCTGGGCTCATTAACTCACTGGAACACATCCTGCCTGGCCCCAGGGATGCCACAGTCCCATCAGAAAGCTCCGTGACTTCTTTCTAGTGAAGGTGATCAGAGCCCACCCATGCCCGGTTGGTACTCAGGCTCAGCCAGGCAAGCCCAGCTAGCTGTCTAACCAGCTGCTTCTGCCAAAGGGGTGCAAGGGCCCCATGGCCAGAGGCAAAGAGAGTGCAGCTGTTCCTTGGGCCATGGTGGCTCCACTTGCAACCTTGAGGGCTCTGCTGCAAGCATGGCTGGCTTCAGGAAGCTGGTGTTGCAGTCTGACATGGCCAGCTTGGCCGGACATTGCCTCTGGTGGAGTCTTGGGTGGCCGTGTGCTTTGCCTGCTGTGTGTTTGTCAGTCCTTCCCTTAGTGGCCTGGCATGGGATCAGGGAGAGGAGGGGACTGGTCCAGGGGTCTGACAGAGGGGGGGCCACCTGTACCCTCTGCCAGCTTAGGGCTGGGCAGGGAAGAAGGGGCGTTTGTGGGTGGTGCCCTGGGGGTCGTCACCAAGGAGGCCGGGGGGCTGTGGCAGAGCCCCGGTTCTGGTTCCATTTCCTGCTGTGCTCCCAGCCAGTGTCTCATCTCTGGAAAGGGGAGTGCCTGGCTTCCTCGCACCCTGTCATGAAGGTGACCATGAGCCTGCACCCTAGGGGTGCTCTGTGTTGGCAGAGCAGTGCTGTTATTGACTGTCCTGAGCAGCCAAGGGCTGGTTTCTAGAAAGACCCACAGAGCCTTCCTCACCCATGGTCTGGAACCTCTTCATCCCTTTAGGTTCCCTTGGTTGAGGCTCCTGGGGAAAGCGGTTTCTCCCTCATGTGCTCTCTCTGCTGGGCCTGGGCCTCTCAGGGGCTGTTCTGGGTGTCTGGCAGCGGGGACCCTCAACTCCTCCTGTCAGATTTTCTGGACCCCACAGTCCTTCTGGCGCCATTGCCCCTTTCTCCAGTGGTGGTGCAGTTGCCATCTGTCGAGGGGCAGGCCTCACCCTCAGGTGACTCCCATGCACAACTCAGAAGATTGTGTTCATAACAGAACAGTCCATGGGAATGCGGGCCTGTGGCACTAAATACGGCCAGGTCTCCACTTACCTGGAGATTTTGGGAAAATGCAGATTCCTGGGCTATACCCCAGCTCCGTCGAGTCACCATCTCTAAGGGCTGGACTCAAGTATTGGGGTGGTCTTGAATACTAGGATGAGGATTTGGCTTGGTTTTTATGTTTTTGTTTGCTAGGTTTGGAGCAGTTATTTGAGATTTCTGAGCAGGGATGGTGACTTGATGAAGCCCATGCTTCATGACACTGAGTATGATGGTGGAACAGGAAGAGGGCTGCAGGAAGCTGTGAAGAATTGGCCCATCGCTGTGACCTGGGGTCTCTGCAGGAGGGGCATGAGCAGGCCGGACCCACGGGAGAAACGGGCACGCTCGATGGGCACAGCTGACAAAGAAGAGTGCTTGTGACACCATCTGAGAGTGGCTGTCTCGGCCCCTGGGGGTGGGTCTGCTCAGGATGGGCCTAGGGTGGACCCGCACCGTCATCCGGGAGGTGCTTAGTGCTAGTGGAGTGGCAATGGGGTCGTCTCAGACCTTGTTAAACTGAGTGGCTCCACATCCTATCTTTGGGTTCTTGGGTGTCCCGTCCCTTTCCTATGCCTCAGTTTTCGTAGAACTCTGTCTTTTCGTCACTGAGGTTGTGAATCTCTGGGAATCTGATGAAAGCCACAGACTTTTGCCCCTTGAAAACTCACATTTGGACGTGCATGCATATACACTTACACGGGGACCACTCTTCTGAAGCCCACTGGGACCTGAGGTGACAGTCACCTCTGACTGACCTCAGAAACCAGCATGAATGGTGGGAGTGACTTTTGGCATGTGCTGAGTGGCCTTGAGCTCACGTGCTTTTAGGCCCAGGTGGTGCTGTAATTTTGGGGCAGAGGCCTCTGGTTTGGGGCTTGCCTTGGTCCAGGCCCAGCCTCTGTCTCACAGTCTTCACCTGTCTGAGGGTGGGCCACCACTAGGTGGCACACATTCCTTGGTGATCCTGGCCTCTGGGTCCCCTGGAGCTGCCAGTGGGGCTCCATGGAGGCTCCCTCAGCAATTCCTGACCTCGCCAAGGTGCATCCTTGCTGAAAGCAGCTTTCGGTTGAGCAGGGAGTGAGGGCCTCTCATTGATGGTACCTGCCTGCCTCTGAGCAGCCCATCGCCATTTTGACTATTCCATGTCTGCCCTGCTCTCGACCAGCTTCTCCAGTGGTCCTTCAACCCTCAGGTCTGTGAGAGCTGGTGTTGAGACCTAATAGGACCTGTCTGGGGTCTCTGTAGGGGCTGTGGTTTTTCTCAGATCCTCAGAGGGGTCTGTGGCCAAGCCGAGGTAAAGAGGTATGACCTGGTCTGACTCCTGCAGAGGCTGTTCAGGTGTCACATAGCATGATGGGGTCACCTCTCCTCGACTTGGGGTTTCCTGTATTGGAGAAGCCCAGAGACATGAGGAGAGCTGGATGGGGCAGTTGGTGTCATCCTGAAGGAGCCCCTTTGAGCAGAGGCTGAGCTTCCTGGTGAGAGAGAACGGGGCTTGACATGATGAGGTAGTGCCCAAGCCCCGCCCTAGCACCACAATATCACGGAGGATGGAGCCCGGTTCATTGCTGAATAGTGGGGATTGCTGTCTCTGAAATTCCCTAAGTTCTCTCCAGAAGCAGAGACTGTCAGGGCCTCCTGGAGACTGGAAAGAATTTCCCGTGCTCACACGAGACCCTGCATGGGACCCCGTCCCTAGGAGTGCCTTCTGTAACATTTTGCTGCCTTTGCAAAACCAGCTGGTCTGCTGGTGCCTATTCCCTCCCCAGCCTCATTCTCTCTAGGGTCCCTGTGCTCTGGGTGGTAGGTGGTAGGCGGGGCCCCCATGAGGCCTACAGGGGAGCATGGGTGTGCTGTTCGGCAGCACATTTAGGTTTTGGGCCCCTGGTCTGGCCTTTGAAACCAGGTCCTGGCCTCCTCTGCTGCCTTGTTTGTGGCATCTGGTCAGATCCAGCCATCAAGACCTGATGCACACCTGGCCCTGCGCCAGGGAGTGAAGGGTCCCCTGCCCACAGGTAGAGCTCAGGGGTGGAGGGACAGGTACAGTCAAGAGTGGGGATCAGCCCCACCTCATCCAATGTGTGGACTGCCACGTGGACAGTGAAGACACGGGATAGGGGCCGAGCTGCGGAGGGCGCTGCCGTCCCACCAGGGTGCCAGGAGAGCCGAGCGGGTCATGGATGGGTGCCTGCTTTCTCGGACTAGGTTGTCCACCCTCAATGTTGTCCATGCCTTGTCTGGCACGTTGAGATGTTCTCAGGACGTTGAGACCATGGGGGTGGCAGAGATGCACTGCCTGTGGGAGATGCTGTCTGAGCACAGGCATGGGGGGCCTATGTACCGGAAGAGGGTGGAGGGAGCTTGATGTGTGGATACCCTCGTCCTGCAGGACTCTGAAGTGGACTGAGGATTGAGCCGCAAGGGGTAGCTTGTGAAAGTGCGTGTTGGACTGTGACATGATGAAATCCATCTTTCAGGAACTTGGCCTGTCTGGGGGGATGATTTAAAGGTTCTGGACGTGGAGGCCAGGAGCCGCCCCCTGAGACTGTCAACCCAGGCACTGAGGGACTGAGAAGAGGAACGACTGAGAGGCTGGTGGGAAAAGATGGAGCTAATGGAGCTCATCCCAGGAATGCAAGGATGGCTCATCTTTTGAAGCCAATTAATGTATTTCACAATCTTAATAGAATAAAGGAGAAAAAAACCCCGTGTGATCCTCTCAATAGACGCAGAAAAGCGTTT